ACCAGCACGGATCAGCTCTAGGCATGATGAAGCGGATATCGTCCTCTTTTGAAAGACCAAACAAAGTAGTTTCACTTTCACAACGAAGCACACAGCGTCTTCAGGACATGGCGGAAACCGGCAACAATACTACAGTGAGAATAAAAGTTAGCCTTCTTTCTTTGCGTGAACATTTGGGCGGTGTTATGCAAATCTTCCCACATAGTGAGGTAGATATGTGGGGGCATGTTAGAACGAGCCGTTTTTGGTAGGTGTGGCTGACTCTTAACTTTTATAAAGAATATCTCTTTGGATTTGAGACTTTAGTCTTTGCAACTTTACAGACCTTCTTTATGCACCAAGAGCTTGTAACACTCCAAAGAGAAAGGAAAAATTGAAATCGCATCATATAACCTCTTTAAGAATCCGTACAACTGCAGCAGCAGAGGACTAGTATTCTGCCACGCGGAACTGCAGAAGGACTGATGGCAGCATGGTTTGATCTTTTTTTTGTCTGACCAATCAGCAGAAAGGGGCGTTTAATTCCCGTTAGAAATCGAATAATCAAGCTGTTTATTAATTTTTCCACCCCTGAACGAAAAACGAAAAATTAAGCCGAAATCTTGTTTTTCGTTTTTTGCACAAAATGAAAAAACTAAAAAGGAGCCATTTCTCATTTTTATACTTTCAATATTAAACAAAAAATCACATGACCAAAAGATACACGGATCATTTACTTTTGCGTATAAGTACACGGACCAGGCTTCTCTATTCTTTTTGTATTCTATCTGTTTGTTTTCTTTTTATTATACAATTAACTAAAAGCAAAAAAAAACTAAAAAAAGGCCTCTAGCTTGCTCTATTCTTTTTCTATTCTATAGGTTTTCTTTTTGTATATTATATAATTTTAAAAAACCTTGCTATGTGTACTGCTTTAGGCTAACTGAGACTGAACTGTGCGGAGTCCACCTCTTCTAGTGGTTCAATGTTCAGGTAATGGCATGATCAAACTAGTTAAACAAACAGGACTTTGGGGTGAATATACGCTCTGGCACCATTCAGTTGGGCTACTGGGAATATTTAGTCATTTAGCAGATCACTCATATATTGTTGCTCTTTTGTTAGTTTTGACTGCTTTTATTGTCCTCATTTGTAAGTCACTTTGGATAAAAGCGTCTGCTAAATGACTAAATGTAAATGTAAGTATGACTCGATTTTAGGACCAATTTTGCCTTCACCAATCGTGTACGTGTATTTCTTTGTATGTTCTCATAGCAAATTCTAAAGAAGTAAAACATAAACATAGCAAAAGACTACCCACTGCACTTTGTTTATCCTGAAGCTATGGGGTGGTGGTGGCTCCGTACTTGGGTCTTCATTGATGCTTGCAGCTATATTTTAAATATTGCCATTGTGTGAAAACAAATTTGGACATTTTTACCTGTCTAGTCAGTTTTAATTTAATGATAGCTGGACTTTAGTTACTTTTACCTAACTTTTTTCTCTCTCTCTCTTTCCAGGCTCACTACATTAAGGCTACAGCGTTTAGGAGCGCTGGCCGCAATGAGGAGGCTCTACAAGAGTATTTCTACTGTTTGGCTCTAAAATCTGACTGGATCGCTGTAAAACTGGAGGCCCAAAAGGTACATTAAGATTTGTTTATTTGCGAATGTCAGCCTTTGTGTAGTAGATCTGTTGCGCAATGGTTTGTCTTCTAATTTTGATATAATTTTAAAGTTTAAACCCTTAGTTTCTTTGATTTATGAAGTTGTCATTATTACTTTTGTATAACTTTTTCTGTGTATCTACAGATCCTGAGTCACATGTTCTCTTCGGTCTTTGCAAATAATGGTCTGGCCATGTCCATGCAGCCTCTTCCAGCTGGACCCTCCTCTCGTATCAAACCTTCATCCCTCAGCTCTCTTCACTCCTCTCTTCCTAGAGATGGAGCCAAAGCAGGCTGCTCCAAGGTTACTGTGCTCAGATACAACTGATTTAAACAACTGCACAGATTTGCTACAATGGAGATATTGTCACACTGAATATTTAAAGATTTAATTTTGTTTGCAAAGCAATTTTAGATTCATAGCATAGATCATAGCACCATCAAATCTAAAACTGTTTTGTGTGTGTGTGTGTGTGTGTGTGTTAGGAATCAACACTCAGCTGCAGCAAGTTCAAAGATGGGAACTCTTCTATTTTACAAAGATCTGAAAACATCAACTCTGTTGGCCTCAGTTCATTTTTTGTTCAACCAGTCTTAAAAAGGAAATGGATAGAAGATGTTAAGGCCTTTGAGCCACCCAGCAAACAGCTTAAAGAAGGTATGTGGTTTAAAACCATGATGTATTTATTTTATGTATGTTGTAAATGACTTACAACAAATATTGTGAAGGAATAAGTCATATCTGACTAAGATCTATGGCTGGTTGTACAAACACTCACTCTCTCTCTCTCTCAATTTTCAATTCAATTTAAGAGTGCTTTATTGGGATGACAAAAATTATACATTTGTATTGCCAAAGCAATTGCAGCTGGACTGCTTACAAATAGTACACATATGTATTAACAGAAAGAAAAATAATAATAGTAATAATAATAATATATAAAAAGTATTAAGCATGTAGTGCAAAATGAATTACTAATGTATATAATTATATAAACTAGAAATAAAAATTAAAATAAGGGATTAGACATATTTACAGAAGCAAAATATACATCTAAGTAATATAGTACAGTAATTTGGCATAATATAATCTATATGTGCTGGAAACATCAGATCAGGGCAGGTTGAGTGTTTTCTCTTCTATGGTGACAGGCAGACACATATTGAGCAGCAAACACACAGCAGTTCTTCTGTTCTCCTAACAGATACGCCACTTTCTCCTGGTCTGATTTCTATAGGACATTGCTGTTTTATGGCGTAGAAGGCCCTGCATGCTTTATCTCTGTTCATTCACAGCATGATTAAAGTTTCCCGTGGATGTGATTTTCAAACCCAGGTAGTTGTAGTGTGATGTGTGTGTTATCTGCTTAGTGCCTAATGTAAATGTGTGTTGTGTTCCCTGGGATCTGGATCTTTTCTGAAAGATCATAATTCTGGTTTTCTTCAGGTTGACTGTCAGGGCCCAGGTCTGGCAGTATTGCTCTAGCAGGTCCAGGTTCTGCTGTAAAGCGTGTTGAGTGGGAGACAGCAGAACCAGATCGTCTGCATACAGCAGGCATCTGATCTGTGAGTTGTGTACACTCTAAAAAATGCTGGGTTGTTTCAACCCAATGTTGGGTCAAATATGGACTAACCCAACAGTTGGGTTAGTCCATATTTGACCCAGCATTAGGTTGAAACAACCCAGCATTTTTTAGCGTGTAGGGTGAGGCCAGGGGCTGCAGATCACTCCAGACTGCTCGCCAGTTCATTGATGTAAATGTTAAATAACATTGGGCTTAAGCAGCAGCCCTGTTTCACTCCACGCTCCTGGGAAAGATACCTCGTACGTTTGGTGCTGCATTTTACGCCACATTTACTTTCAGTGTACATTGATTTGATAAGGTAATAGGTTTTACCTCCTATGCCACTTTCAATAAGTTTGTAGAATAGTCCTTGGTGCCAAATTGAGTCAAAAGCTTTTTTAAAGTCAATAAAGCATGCATATATTTTACCTTTATCTTGGTTAACATGTTTTTCAATTAGAGTATGTAATGTATAGATGTGATCAGATGTACGGTAATTTGGTAAAAATCCGATTTGGCTTCTGCTCAGTACATTGTGTGTGGTGATGAAGTCTAATAGTCGAGCGTTTATTATGCTACAGAATAACTTTCCCAGGTTGCTGTTCACACAGATGCCTCTGTAATTGTTAGGATCAAATTTATCTCCGTTTTTAAAGATTGGTGTTATCAAACCTTGATTCCAGATGTCAGGGAAGTAACCTACACTCAGAAGCACATTGAATAGTTTTAGAATGGCCGATTGGAATTTACTGCTTGTGTGTTTTATCATTTCGTTTAATATCCCATCAGGTCCAGATGCTTTTTTGAGTTGGAGGTTTTTGATTTTTTCTCTAAGTTTTTTATCAGTTATTGGGAAATCTAATGGGTTTTGGTTATCTTTGATTGCTAATTCTAGTTTTTCCAGTTGGTTGATTGTTTGATTTTGCTTACAGTTTGTGTCTGTTTGTACTTTATTAAACAATGTTTGGAAATGACTTTCCCATATTTCTCCATTTTGTATTGCCAATTTTTCATGATCAGTTTTTTTCAGATTGTTCCAATTTTCCCAAAATTGGTTTGTATTCACTGACTTCTCAATTATTGTCAGTTGTGTAATGTGCTTTTTTGGTTCTGAGTGTATGTTTGTATTGTTTTAGTGTTTCACTGTAAAGAAGGCAGATCTCTGCATTATTTGGATCCTTGTGTTTCTGATTTGACAATGTTCTCAGTTTCTCTCTCTCTCTCTCTGTTTCTGTCTACTTGCTTCATTCCCAGATAAGGCATCTTCCTGTAAAACTCTCCCTACTTTTTCTGGGGGGAGGCAAGTTCAATCACAGCTTTTGGACAGTGCAGACTTTGAATGTTCTCTCTGCATGAGGTGATGATAAATTCTCTCTTTGAACACTTAAAACAATAGTTCACTCCAGAATTAAAATTTCCTGATAATTTACTCAGCCCCATGTCATTCAGGATGTTCATGTCTTTCTTTCTTCAGTCAAAAAGAAATGTAAGGTTTTTGAGGAAAACATTCCAGGATTTTTATACATCAACTTCAACGGGTACCAATGGGTTGAATGTCAAAATTGCTTTTTCAATGCAGCTTCAAAGGGCTCTTATCTAGCGACACGAATTGTCATTTTCTAAAAATATATATTTTTTAACCACAAATGCTAGTCTTACACTAGCTCTGAGATGTGCCAAACTGCAATTTGGACCATCAACCCATTGGTCCCCGTTGAAGAAAAACCTTAATTTCTTTTTGACTGAAAAAAGAAATATATCAACATTTTGGATGACATGGGGGTGAGTAAATTGTCAGGAAATCTTGATTCTGGAGTGAACTAACCCTTTAACTTTGTAGATATCTAAATCCTCCTCACTAATGTATTATTCCAGACTGTTTTATGAGCCTGTCACCACACCCTGTGGACACACATTCTGCCTCAAGTGTTTGGAGCGCTGTTTGGACCACAACCATAACTGTCCCCTGTGCAAGGAGAACCTCTCCGAGGTAAATATCAATACACTTGCAATATAGTCTACACACAGATATAAGGGCCAATTAATTATCTATCAATTAATATGTTGGACCATGGGGCATTAAAAGTTTAATATAATTAGTTTTCAAAGAAATCTGTGAAAATGAGACAACGATATACCAGTTCTAATGCCATGCCGAAAGTTCCAGCAAACATGCTAACTGTTCTGTCTTTGGCTGTACCGATGAGCACAGAACACTATTTAGAGTCCCAGCCTCAGGGGTAGACAAGAGAGCAGTGGATTTATTGATTTAATTACTGTATATTACACTGCTGCCACACAAATATAACCATGCAATTTCTTTCCCAGCTGTTTACCTTCACAGACATAACTAACTGTTCTTGTAATTTGTGTGGTTTTAACAAACTTGTGTGTATTTGACACTTTAAGCACAATAAGACATGAAAGAAAACTTAGTTTAGTACTCACATGCTATGTGACAGCCGCTTTCTGTGTGCATGCTTTGGATGTGTGTGCTCAGAAAACGTACAGTGGGTACGGAAAGTATTCAGACCCCCTTAAATTTTTCACTCTGTTATATTGCAGCCATTTGCTAAAATCATTTAAGTTAATTTTTTTTCCTCAATGTACACACAGCACCCCATATTGACAGAAAAACACAGAATTGTTGACATTTTTGCAGATTTATTAAAAAAGTTTAAACTAATATGGTTTAAAACCCATGATTTCTGCATGGTGGACATGAAAATCAAAACCAAACAGATGTTTTTTAGCACCGTATCTGAGGTACGAGCTATAAAGCCACAGCCCTATTCTGGAAAAGGGGGCAGGGAGCAGTAGTTTATTTGCATTTAAAGGGTTATGAAACCCCACGTTTCAGCACTGCTTAGTTCTCACCACAGTTTAAAAAACGCTAAAAAAGTCGGAGTGGTGCGGAGTGGAAGGGGGCAATTCAGACAGTTTCATTTCGCTCCCATTGAGTTAAAAACACAAATAAATGGACAGCCATTTGCACTCTGCATCGGAATCATATATATGAATGCAGTGTTGCACCTCTGAGAACTTTTAAAGGGGTCATATGATGCGATTTCAAGTTTTCCTTTCTCTTTGGAGTGTTACAAGCTGATTGTGCATAGATAAGATCCATGAAGTTGCAAAGACTAGTCTCAAAACCAAAGAGATATTCTTTATCAAAGTTAAGACTCTGCCACGCCCCCCTAAAACGGCTCGTTCTAACACGCCCCCACATATCTACCTCACTATGTGGAAATATTAGCATAATGCCGCCCAAATGTGCACGCAAAGAAAGAAGGCGTGGTTTCAGTAACCGCAGTTAGTGTTGAAGCAGCCATGTCAGGGAGACGCTGTGTGTTTCTAGGCGAAAGCAGAAGCACTTTATTTGGCCTTCCAATAATGTGTTTTTTGAACATTAAAGCATGTCAACATATTCTGTTACACCAAATACACAAAATAATGAGCTTTAAAAAAGCATCATATGACCCCTTTAAGGCTTATTCTGTGGTGTTTATATAAGCCTTTTTGACGGGTTGTGTCACAGAGCTGTAAAATGGTTATGCTCACCAAGTGAATGAATCGCATTTGTGCCGAACACTTATTACAAAGCAAAAACAAACACACTCTTCTTTGATCCATGAACGTTTCTCTCAGTTAATGTGCGTGATGTCATCTCACAGTCTGAAGCGTCTGTCATAGCAAATCCACACATGCTGTTGTGAATAATTAACCCTTAAATGCATACCTCGGGTCTTTAGCGACCCGGGACATCATTCTCTACCCTCTCCCTCCTTCATTTTTTTAAGTTTAACTTTTTTAGTATTCCTCAATCTATTAATTATAAACAATATAACAAGAAAAAAATAGTAAAATATAAAAGAATGCCAGTTTTCGGATAAATATTTTGTAAAAAGTGTATAGGGTCGCTAGAGACCCGAGGTATGTAAATGTGTAAGTATTTTTTCCTGCTTAACTATATTTACATATCTGATGACTCTATATGTGCAATGCATCTTTTTTCCTCAAGGTGACACTGTTTGATACACAATGATGACATGATGTTTCAATCATAATTACCACAGGCATAAAACAAACGAATATATAAGCAAAAACTGAACTGGTTTGAATGGCTTTACTGCAGAGCAATTACTATACTCAATGAAATATATAAATGTCACTTTCATTTGATGCTGGATGTGGTGAATAAGCTGCCAGTGATCAAAATATTGAATATGAAGTCATTGAAAACGATATGGCTGAGATTGTGAATGTGAGGCAGATGCTGAATGTACTTTGGAAGTGCGCTCTGACGATGACAGCCATGGTAAAATCATCTGCTCAAATTGAACCCTTTTAAGTTTCAAAAGGTAACGAAATATGCTTTATTTTATTCTTCTGTAATTGTTCTTAAAATATCAAGAGTTTTTTTTCTATTGCAGCAGTTAGAGATCATCCGTGCTGTATATATAGGTCCGGGTCGCTAAAGACCCGAATATGTAATAATGATTGGCGAAACATTCATGCATTTAAGGGTTAAGCGAAGCATCTCACAGGATAAGAACACAGTCTCATGAATAATTTAATAGACACCGACGCGTCATCGATGTACAATAGTGAATTGCCACATCGCAAATTGTGACGTCAACACAATGTACAAACCCAATTCCAAAAAAGTTGGGACACTGTACAAA